CCACTGTCCCCCACTTGTTAAGAGGAGGTAGCTGTATTCTTGGTAATCCTTGGGAAACCAAGCAGTTCCCTTCTGTGGGGGAGTACTAGTAATAATACATGAACGATAATGTTAATTACACTGATCATTACAGATATTGCTTATTAAGTACCTACTCTGTAGCAGATATTTCCTTTATATTATCCATTTCATCCTGGGAGGCAGATATTATTCTCCCTATTTTGCAAATGACAAAATGAGCTCAGAGAGACTAAGTAACTTGTCCAAGATCACATATAACTAGTGGCAGGGGGCTGGGGGAGGTGAGTGGAGAGGCGAGCTGAAGGATGAACCCAGGCACTCTGGCTCCTAAGCCAGAGCCCGCCTTCTTAGACCACCACAGCAAAGGCTTGTGCGGTTCAAGCAGAGGGGTGGCCTGTGAACAAGGAGGAAGGAAATGCTGACTGAGCATGGGCAGTAGGACTATTCCCGGCTGGGCTGCCTCTCCATCTCACCCCAGCAAGTCAGCAGAGGACTGGGAACAGTGGAGTGAAAAGCAACCAGAGGTCTTGATGCTAAGAGAGATGATGGCTCGTGAGGAGAACAGGCTGGAGTGCTGGAGAGAACTCCAACGGGGGCACCCAAAGGCCTCGGTTCTAATCAGGGTTGTACTTGCAACTTTCTGTGTGACTTTGGGCAAGTCACTCACCTCTCTGGGTGTTTGGATGATTGCTGATGTCTCCTTTCACTCTTTTATTTGAGGACTCTAGGATATATTGGGTGGCAGGTCACTTCTATACTTTCCTCCTTCTTGGAAAGATGTAAAAAGTACAGGTTCCTTCATGAGCTGCCTGCTTGAATTCACAACCTAATGACTCCCAGGCCACGTGGTGGGTGATGGGAACCTGTGCTCAGCTGAGAACAGGCCAGAAGCTGAGGAGAGAGCAGAACAGAAGGTTTTCTGCCCTAGCTCCATCAGCTAATCAGTCACCTGGCCTCTTGTTGCCTTAGAACCCTGAGGATTACGGGGGCCCACATGGGAGAAGAGCACCTGTGAGCCCACGGCAGTCTCAGGGAGAGCCTGGTGCTGGGCACAGCTCTGCCACATGGTCTGGGTTGGTCAGGGTGGGGGTGTTGGGGAGCAGCAGGCTGGGTGCAGTGTGCTGTAGCAAGAGGAACTCTCCTGGGAAGGACTTTGCCAGGGGAAAAGACAAGCCTTGGCTCTTCGGTGCCCTTAGGACACAAGGGTCTGGGCTAAGTTCTTGAAGTGGTGAAAGAACTGGCGGAAAAGCTAGGGCATGGGAGTCAAAGAGGCTCAGTTGAATCTGGGCAGGTGCCACACATTCAAGTCACAAGGCCAAGCATGAGTCATCTACACACAAAGCGTTAGTTTCCTCTGCTGAAAAATGGGGGTAATAAGGGTAATAATGCCCCTCTTGAGGGGTTGTCAAGAGAACTGAATGAGAGCTTATAGAGCCTGACCAAGAGTAGACAATAAATGGTGGCTGTTCCCGCCGCTCATAATAAGAACAAACAAGAGGCATCCTGAACGAGTGGAAGGAGCAGAGGCCGGGAGTCACATTTGGCTAACCTCTGGCTGTGTTACTCTTGTCACCTCTCTGGTTCCTTATCTGTAAGAGGAGGGGGTGGCACTAGCTGATCTTGAGTCCCCTTCCAGCTCTGACAGCCTCCAGGCTATGAATAGATGGGGCTGGGGCCCCGGAGGAGTTTAATGACTCAACAGCCAGAGAGGTTAAGCTTTCCCAGAAAAGAGTTTCCATTTGCGTTTGATGAACTTAGGGCACAACAAAGAAAGGGTTTCCTGGCTGGGAAGCCAGGGATGAGGAAGCTGGAGGAATCCTTGCAGCCCATGGAGACTGTGACTAACCAGGTGAATGACTAACTCAGACCCTGCCGACCCGCAACCAATCAGGGCTGCCCGAGAGCGCCCTGCAAGCTGGCATCACTGAGCACGTCCTGGCCATGCCAATTGCAGCTGGCTCTGGGCTTCCCAGCATATGGAGGCAGAAGAAGCAGCCAAGAGACCGGCAGGGAAAGAGCACTGGGCTTGGAGTCAGAAGACCCAGCTTCTTGCTCTAACTCAGCTGCTCACCAGCTGCATGACTTTGGGGGAGTCCCTTCCTCTTCTTGTCTCTCCATGCCCTCATCTGTGCCATGGAGCTAATAATACCTGCCCTGGCATCTTTCCTGAGCGGCAAAGGCTGAGACTCAAGAGATGAGATGAGTGTGCGTTGTGATCACTAAGTGGGAGGTTCTGTCATTTTTCTATCCCAACGTCCCAATGAGTCAGGAGACCTGTTTTGGTCCCCAGAGGGGTCAGGTGGACAGAGGATGTTGCCTCTGGGTTTGAGGTCACCATCAGTTTCATATAGGGTCCCTTCCAGCCATCAAATCATAGCCCAGACAGGCTTGTCTTAGAGCAGAGCCCCTGTGGACGGTTTCCAGCCAGATGGTGTAGCCACAGAGAGAGGTGACAAAAAGCCAGGGATGGTTGGGTGGGGCAGGAAGTGGGCAGTGCTTTTCTGCCCACCCCCCAAACCAGGGTGGTGCTTTAATGCTTTCTTTCCTCTTGTCCAGCACTGTATCAATAAATATCACCAAAGGCACCCTGTCTGCATCTACCCCCAGCTTTTAGCATCTGTCTGGGTGAGGACTACAAGCACTTTGGGAAAAGGCAGGGATGGAGGGGGAAGAATGATGTCCTTTCATTTCTACACACCTTAAGCTCATCAATAGCATTCTCTGAGTGCTCATGTGTGCCGCAGGGTACTGTGCCAGCACTGGGAGAACAGAGATGGGAACCACAGGGCACTGCCCACATGGAGGTTAATTGCAGTGTGGTTAAAGAGACAAAACACATCCCCTAAAATGTAAATAACTGCGCAAGAGAGCCCACACTGTGTCACTCAGGTTGTCTTGACAGTGAGTCCTGCAGTTTTCTAGAGTGGTGGCCTGGGATGGTCTGGAAGACTTCAAAAAGGATCTGGGATTTGAGCTGGACCTGGAAGCTTAGCTTGGATGAGACAAATAGAAGACAGAAAAAGGTGTGCCAGATAAGCACACTTAAAGTGTTCTCAGGAGACGGTATAGCTGTAGTGGAGAGATCATGTCAGTAAGAAGAGAGAAATGAAGTTGGAGATAGAGCCAGGTAGGAAGGTCCTTATCATTTGGGATAGGGAGCATGGACCAGATTCCACACCAGCTGGAGGGCACTGAGGGCTTCTGAGAGGGTATTGGTATGGTGAGGGCTGCACTTTGGGAAGATTCTTTGTGGCAACATTGTCCAGGGGAGCTTGCTTCTTGCGGGAATGAGGCTGGAGGCAAGGTCAGCTGAGTAGTTACTGTGGAGCTAGGGACCACAGGACCAAGAAAAGGGACACATAATCAAAGGCACGACTTGTGGGAAGAAGGGGAAGGCCTAACTTGGTGGTTCAGTGCTTCTGAAACCCTGGCAGGTGGCAGAGAAGTGAGAGAGGGGAGGCTCCTTTCTGGGCAGGTCTAAGTCTGACCATTCTGCTGTAAACTCACAGGGTCAGCAGGACCTAGAGGTGCCCCCATTTGGGTCACATCCAATCCTGGGGTCCTTTTCTTCCTCTTCCAAAAGCAGAATCTGGAGACTACATAGCAGAACTCCCATGGACCCCACAGAGGAGTGGAGCCTCGGGACAAATTCTTGCAGTGGATAGACTGCAGGAGCAGTGTCCAGTCCTGCTTTTTACCCCCTCAATTCCTGTGGATCCCAGGAAAACACTGCCATCTTGTTATGGGCTATGCCAAGTGGCAAGGAGCCCCTGGGAGCTCAGCCAAGGCAAGGAGGGGGACCAGAGAGAGGAGAAGGAATGGGAAAGATGGAGGCCTGGAGGCATCCCAATGGGCTTTGGGGGAAGGTGGGCTGGGAGCATGCCAGCACTGGGAGGAAGGCTTGAGATCATTTCAGCCAACCCCTCATTGTCTGGAGGTGAGCCCAAGATCCAGACAGAAGGGACTTGCCCAAGGTCATATAGCAGGAAAAGTGATGAAGCTCGGCTGGAATCAGAGACTTGGGAGCTGGTGAGGTGTTTACTCCTATCTGGACACCTCCCAAAAGCACTGGAGATTCCTTTCCTGGATATCCATTTGTGTGCTTTGTGTGTGCATGCCTGTGTCTGCCGTGTGTGTGCTTGTGTGTGTACCTGTGGGTATGTGTGCCCGTGCCTATGTTGTGATAGAGTCTGGGCGTATGTGTGGCCTGCCCCACCGCTGTTTGGAGAAGAGAACTGAGGCCATTCCTGCAGGGTGACTGTTTTCCTGGGACAGCAGAGAAGACAGATAGAGCTGGATCTGGCTTCCAGCACCAAATCTGCTGCCCTAAGAAAATTAAAGGCACTGGCTGGCTGTGCTCAAACTCTGGGAGCTGGACACACACACACACACACACACAGGCACACGTACACGCGCGCACACACATACACACACGCACACCACTCCAAGCAGCACTCACAGAGGCAGTTAGAGGGTGTTTTAGGCACCCAGAGTAGGCAGGAGTGCCGCGGAGTGCCAGAGTACCTGCATCCACACGTCTCCCTGGAGCCCCAGCCGGTGTGGACACGCCAAGGTGCGGAAGCCCATCTGCCAGGGACACGGAGTGGCGCGCTCCCCGCCGCTCTACACTCAGCTCTGCTCCAGGGCCTGGCCCGGCCACACCCCTCCTCCCCAGCCTCCGCGAGCCGTTCCTGCCCCTCTCACACACTTCAGAGTCCCCTGAGGCCCTCGCGCAGCCTGGCAGGGACAAGTTAGGGCTGGCCCGGCCGGAGAGTCAGGTCCGGAGCCAGGAATCGACGCCTCCCCCGAGTCCCGTCCCTGCGGAGCAGACAAGCCAGGTTGAACTCGGGTTTCTGGCAGCGCGGGGTTCGGCGCCCAGCCCCTCTCCGGGGGATCCCCCCAGCCCTCGCCGTCTCGGGACTACCCCGGGACGCGGCGCCCAGCCCCGGGTCCCCGCGCCCCGGTCGGCGAGTAGTTACCGATGGTGGTGATGACGGTGATGGCGAAGTAGAAGGAGCCGGCGAAGCGCCACTGCACGCCGGCCTTGTGCGGCTTGAGGCGCAGCACGACGCGCTCCAGCTCCTCGTAGCCGCCCTGGCTGAGGTTGTAGCGCGCCCGCAGCTCCTGCTGCCGCAGCTCCAGCCGCTGCCGCTCGATCATCTCGGGCTCCGACTCGAGCGCGTCGAAGACCGCGGCGCCCACCAGCAGGTAGGTGAAGGTGCACACGATGAGCGCCAGCGTGCGCACGTTCTGCCGCTTCATCGTCCCGCCCGAGCCGCCGCCGGCCCCCCGGCGCCCCGGCCCGCGCCCCGGCCCCGGCCGCCGCTGCTGCTGCCCCGGAGGCGGCCTGGGGCATGGCTGCGCTCGCCGCTCCCCGAGCCGGGCACCCGCTCCGCGCCCTGGGGCCGCCGCCGCCAACGCCGCCGCTGCCGCCGCCGCCGCCGCCGCCGCCGCCGCCGCGGAGCTGTCCCTTCAGCACCACCCACCGCCCTCCTCCGCCCGGCCCCGCTCCCGCCCCCCGCCCCCCGCCCGCAGGCCGCCTCCTCCCGCCAGCCCTCCCGCCCAGCCAAATAAGGACTGGGGAGACGCGCCGAGGGAGGGAGGGAGGAGGGGGGCTGGCGGAGGGGGAGGGGAAGGGGAGCGAGCGGGAGAGCCGCGGAGAGACCGGGCTGGACCGAAGGGGAGAGACCCAGGGAAAGAGAGAACTAGACCGAGAAACGTCTGTAACTACAGAGAAAGAGAGAAAAAGAGGCAGAGGGGGGTGTGACAGATAAGGAGATACAGCCGAGGTAGACTCCTAGGCGCAGAGAAAGAAGCGGCAGGCAGAAAAATACAGAGCGAGAGAGGCAGAGAGCGAAAGATGGAAACAGAAAGAGCCCCGGAGGCAGGGAGACCTGGATAGCTGGAGATAAACCGACGACGGAAAAAGAAAAGCAAAAGAAGGGAAGAGGAACAGGCAGAGAGAGGCCCCCCGCCCCGCCCCCCCGGCCCCCCATCTCCACGGAAATCACAGCGTGTTTCAGCTGGAAGGGACCTTGGGCCTTGCTGTCCTGCCCTTTATTATGTCCATGGAGAAGCTGAGGCGCAGAGAGGTCAAGTGACCTGAAAGGGGACACGGTGAACTAGTGTCAGCACTGGGACTCGACCAAGCTTCCCTCCGCCCAGGCCACACCCCCCACCCCACACCCGGCTGCTGGGCTGCTGGCTGTCTCAGAAGTAGCAGGGCACTGGGCGGACCTGGGCACGCGAGGGCCAACACCCAAGGGAAAGCCCTGCTCTCATGAAATGTGACCTTTCCCAGGTCAGCACGGCTCCTGGAGCTGGCTCAGAAAGCACAGGCTGGCCGCCTAGGCCAGTAACGCTGAATCCCCGGCTGTCCTCCTCTGCTGTCCCTCCTCCCTGAGGCTGTCGCGGGGGTCCTGACAGCCAGAGCCCCTGTCCTGCACCCGTGGGCCAGGCTGGGCCTGCGGTGAGCTGCCAGAGAGAGCGCCGGACATCAACATGGGGCATCCCAACAGAATGGGGGTCTAGCTGAAACAGGGCAGGTGGGGCCTAGACCAGGAGGCTTGCTGTGCCTCAGTTTCTTCTTTTGTCAACATGGTGGCAGTGGTGGTGGGGAGGAGCAGGCTGTGGGACTCCAGATGAGGTGTCACTGCCCCTCTCAGAGTCTCACTTCCTTATCTCCTCGATGAGGTGCCATGGCAGATGGTCCCGCAGGCCTTGCTTAGCTTCAAACAACTCCAGACTTGGATGGGCTGAGTGAGCAGAATGATCGGAATGCAAATCCCACTGCCAAGGAGGGTCAGAAAGTCTTTCACGGGACCCTGGCACGGACCGCGAGGAGAGTCAGGGAAGAGGCCCCAAGGCCCCTGACTGAGGGTAGGTTGAGGAGACAGCCATCCAGAAGCAGGAGAATCATCTGCCCACATCCTGGCCTGACCCGTCCCTGCTGGGCATTCCAGTGCTTCTCTGAGGAATGTCACCAACCCATTGATTCTTTCAACCATTCATTCAGAGAGTATGTACCAAGCATCTGCTGTGTGTCAGGCCAGGCATGTTACATTTATTATCTCTAGTCTCACCACAATCTCACCACAAGGTACGTATGGTCATGTCCATTTTATAGATGGAGAAACTGAGGCAAAAGACAGTGGCAGGGAACTGTCCACGGTCGTCCAACTGGAAGAAACTTCAGTCTGCCTTCCAAATCCATTCTTTTCCCCATAATGACTCCTGGAGCCTCAGGCTTTTTCACCTTTAAATGTAATACCTAATTATACTAGTCTTTGATCTGACACAAACTTTCTGACCCTGCACCCTTAGCCATGAACTCAGCCTACTGCTGGCCTCCCCCCACCCCACCCCCAGTGCTGGCATCTTCTGGTTCCCTGGAAGACAAGTGCTACCTTTCCTGGCTTCCCCGGGGGTGAGGGCACAAGTTAGATTCTGTCTTCCTGGCCACAACTACCCCAGAAGCCAATTCTCCCAAAGCCAGTCTAGGTGAGCAAGGCTCCAGAGGCTTGGTTTTTAGTGTGAAAGGCTGTGTGTCCAGGGTCTGTTCACTTCTGGCTGCGTGGCCAGACTGCTGTGCAGATGAAAGGTGATATTATGAGTGAAAGTGCTTTGGAAAAGGGAAAAAGCTCTCTTTAGGGGCAGGGCATTTATTATTAATTATGATGAAGCTTGTTCTCACAGCACTTCAGAACTAGAAGGACCTTCAAAGATCAGCTAACCTGATACTCTCATGTTGCAGATGAGGAAACTGAGGCCCAGAGAGTAGGAAGGGGGTTGCTCAAGATCACACAGGGAGTGAAGGGGGGGGGCAAGACTTACATCCCATGGCTGAGGTCTTTCCCATAGCCCCCATATGTATGGGATCAGGACCCCTGTTGTCAGGGGAGCGTGGCACATCCCATCCAGTGTCTCTGGAGTCCGCGAAGTCAGCTTAGGTCTCACCCTCCTGCCCCTTCTCCCTTTCTTCTCTTGGGTGGTTTGGGGGGCACTTCTTGGGCAGGGGGTGGGGTAGCCAGGCTAGTGCCAGTCTAGATTTCTGATTGGCCCTGGGTCCTGCAGGCAGGAGTCCCATCAGCTCACCCTTGACCAGGGTGGGATAGTGCTAAATATCTAGAAGCCTATCTCACCCCCTTCTGTCCAGGACCCCTGGGAACTGCCTGTACAACCCCATCCCTCACAGGGCTGCCTTAGCCAGGACCACGTGTCAGAAAGCACTTCCATCAACTGTGTCTTTTATAAATGATAAAATCTGCTCAGCTATGACTTCTCTGTGTTCTTCTTCTTCTTTTTTTAATCCATTGGTGACTCCAGTGGAGGATGCCTTGGGCCAGTTAGAAAGAGCTGTTTTATGCTCCTCAAATCATTATACTGGCCAGCCTCCTGTGTGATCATTTTCTGAAATCTGATCCAATGTAGAGAACGGGGGAAGAGAGCTGGAGGGGCTGGGCTGGGGTCCTGTCTCTTCCACCTGCTTGCTTCCTGTGGGACTCAGGGCCAGTCACTCCTTCTCCCTGGGCCTTGGTTTGCACATCCATAAATGGAGTGGTTTGGACCAGGACATGTCTATGCTGCCTTCATTTATAACATCCCATGACCTTTCTGGCCTGCTTCTGCTTCCCTAGTTCTTCCAAGAATCAGGTGCAAAGAGGGTTTAGTCACTGTTTTTAAGACTTTAGTTTATGAGGAAGAGGACACAGAGATAGGCAGGGAACATAACTATCATTTGCTGCATATTATTATTCACTAAGCATTATACATGTATTATTTTGCAGCTTCATCTTCCATGTTGTTCCTTTCTAAGCTCTGAACACATCTAAGTATGCTTTACTTCTGACTCATGTGGCTCCCATAAGCTAGGATGCTGGTACTTTCTTGACTCTTCCATTGCTTATCTATTGAACTCCTGTTCAGGCTTCAAGACCCAACTCAAATACTTCCCCCATGAAGTATTCCCCATTACCTCCAATCAGAACCACTAACTCCTTTGTGCTTCCAAAACACCTTGTCTAAGCTTCAATTCAGTAGATATTCCACATTTCTAGTAGATTGGTCAGTTCTTTTAATATCTGTCTTCCCCACTGGCTCGTTATCTTCTCCAGGGCAGAGATGCTTCTGATGATCTGCCTCCCAGCAGTGGGGGAGCTCTCAGTGCTTTGTACATCAGAGTTATTCTCCATGTTTGTTGTGTATTCAGTATACAATGAAGTCCTTAAAGCATCCTATACCTGCTGAGTTAGGGATCAGCAGTGTTAGCAGGGATAGAAGCACAGACAGCAGAGTCTGTAGGGAGAAAAACCAAGCAATTTGCTTCTGTGACTCTTTGTCAACAGACACTTCTAAAGCTGGGGCAAGCCCTGCCTGGTTTAGGGACATGTGAGCATCCTAAGACCCAAGGAAGCATGTGGAGAGGGCATTGAAATGGGAGTCTAGAAACCTGGAGCTTGGTCCTACCTGCCACCAACTACCAACTAGTTGGTGGACTTGAGAAACTTGAGAGGGTATCACATGACCTCTCTGTGCCTCAGTTTCCTTTTCTTCAGAATGAAAGTGTTGACTATCTCAAAAAGTCCTTTCCTTCTGACATCCTGGGATGTCAATGATAGATCTGGCCCTGTGATTGGCAATGCCCATCCAACAATGGCCCAGAGTGTGGTCTGAGGGATGACAGGCCCAGAGCCCTCTCTGTCCATTGTTTTCCAGCACCCCATGTCCTTCGACAGTTTGGCTGGAGGATGGGAGCAGGGAGCAGGGTAGGGGAGTAAAATGCTGACCCTGAGTCAGACAAGCTCAGGTTCAAATCCTGCCCCTATTAATTACTAGTTGTACTGGAGCTTCACATTGACATTGTGGGTCATCTTGTCTAGACCAGACCATAAGATCCTGCAGGGCAGGGATAAGGCCTTACTCGTCTTGGAATAGGGTCCTTGATTTGCTGGAGTATCCAGAACCATCTCAATATCCAGTGATGAGAAGGCCTGAAAAGGGGGGCCTGGAAGTGCCCAGCAGCTACAGCATGGACAGGGAAGTGGTTGGTCAGGAGCAGCACAGGGATTGTGACCTCTGATGGCCAAGGGCTGGTTGATCGGATTCCGGGTGCTCTGGGTAACAATAGAGGTGTTTCTTGGTGTATCCCTAAGGGAAAGACACGGAGGATTAGTCTGGATTTACAAAGCACAACCAGTCCCAGTGCAGCCGGCTTGCATTTGTCAAGAGACACTATTTGTTTAACATCTCAAGCCCAAACCAAA